GGGAAGCTGAAAAGTCCTTGACTAGTGTAAGCACGACTTAGCAACAACTAAAACATCGGTGTGTTATCAACCTTGTTCTCACCTTAAATCCAAACCACAGCACTGTACCAGCTACTAGGAAGAAAATTAACTCTATCCCTGCCGAAACCAGGACAACAGGTACTGCAGGGCTGCCTGAAACTATGGCAAATACGGGATTAAGGGTTTCATTTGGTGGTGCAGCAGCTCATGGCTTGGATGTGTTTCAGTAGCGTATCTGCACAGACCTATCCAAATGTGAATGCAGACTTTGAGCCGTTCATGCAGTCTGTGCTGTTTCACTTGCAGGGCGAGGGCTTTGATGCTAGCGGAGACATGCTGCTTTTAGCAACCAGGACAATTTGATATCAAGATGGGTTTATGGAGATTGGATGCTGATTTTTTTAAATTCTTTAGAAATTTTAGGAATAACAGATCAAAACCAACTTGTTAGACCTAAATTTGTTACACAGTTTAACAAGGAAACTCCAATTTTTATTCCTTCTTTAGACTGCTGTTAAAGGGCTGGAGGAAAACCTTAAATAGTCACCCCAGTTTTGCAAATAAAAGAATATCTGGAAATCTTTCTTGACAAAAGTTTGAATCCACCTCCACACTCTAATTTGATAATGATAAATACAAGCCACACCACAAAACTTTGCTGGCAGAATATTTCAGCTGCTTTGTGAATAAAAATATTGCCCTTTAAAATGATTGAGTCTTTCTCTCTGTGGCTTTCACACCTTTATGCTATTGACCTTTCCTTTCCACTGTGGCTTTTTTGTTATTATTATATGGCTAGATATGAAAATATTTTCAATCTGATAAGTTCATTTGGCTGTATAATCATTCTGCAGCCCCCTGGGGTGAGATGGTTGCGCTTACTTCTCCAGCTAAATTAATTTTTTGCAGTGGTGACAAGCCGCATGACAGCAACTGGGTTGCAGACACAGTTGCCTGGAGTTCCTTGATATCTTCCTCACGTGCACGCACCCAGAGAAATCCAGGCTCCTAAAGAGTTGAATGCCCACAAACTCAGAGGCCCTGGAGACACCAGGACTGCAGGCATGCTGGAATTGGGCAGTGGGCTAGGACTTCTTTCTGCCTTGAGATATAGGATGAGGGCAAAATCCTTGGCTGCACAGGAGAGTTGGGAGTTCAAGCACGACCTGAGCATGCAGAACTACCAAGGACTTAAAGGAGGCAGCAGGGAATACAACCACCTTCATGGCCTGGTCCTTACCAATGTTGTCCCTCAATAGAGCCTAGTCCTTCACCCTCTTTCTAGGAGGGCAGGCAAGGAACCTGTCTTTCTCACTTGGAGGTGGTCAGCCAAGTGCCAACCTGCTCCTGCAACCCCAGCACCCACCACTGGCAGACGGAGAACCGAAACTCACTTTGGGATAGAAGAGCTGCACAAAAGGGAGGCTGTACTATTCTCCCATCCGCACCACAGTGCCCAGCAGTGTCGGCCCTTTGATTCACGATGCCACCTTGCTCCCACGAGGTGAAGCAGAGCAGGGTCTGGAAGAGATCTGCACTGCTGCTGGCACTTCACGGATGGACAAAGCAAACAGAGCTGGAAGAGCGTCCTGAGGCATGCATCTCAAGGCACAAGGAAAACAGGGAACCAAAAGCAGGTTTCCCCAGGTCACCTGGGGATGTGCCACTGTGTTACAGCACCTGCAGCAAAGACCTTAGACCAGCTGAGAACCAAGAGAAACTAAATACTTAGCCACTTTCAGCCTGCCTTACAAATTTCATAGGTTTTAAAGTCAGAAAGGACAATTCCTGTTAACTTGACCTTCTGTAATATAGAGGTCTGGGAATTTCCTCTGGCAGGACTTGCTCTTAAGAGTACAGCTTGCAGATAAACTGAAATACCTTTTGCAAGACACCCAGCCTTAATTTGAAAGCCTCACACAATAGAGAATCCACAACAACTTTTAACATTTTGTTCCAGAGACAAATTACTCTCCCTGTCAAGCATGAATAGTTTAAATCATAGATTTATTTCTTCCTACAAAGTAAGTATATTTCAATAGCTTGACAACTGGATTTCATCTGACCTAAAACCCGGATGACTATATTTGGCCAGATGAGTCTTACCTCTCCAGTGACTCCAAAAGGAAGGCATTAAATACAAGATGATTCATTGCCTTTGAAATTTAGGTTTTGAGAAAAAAGAAAAAAAATCTTCTAGTTTGCATGGGCCTGCCAGATGAACAATGCCCAGAAGCTCTCCCAAGGCAGCTACATTGAAAACAAGCAGAACCACAACTTGCAGCAATTTACGAGTGCCTGCTGCCAGGGAAAATGCCATCTGCAGTTAACTCCATCTTTCCCTCACCACACTTCAATAACACTTCTAGAGCTCTTGAAATCTGGCATATCAAACTGTCCTGTGAACTGCCCTCCTTACATAGTTAGCAAAGAGCTGCCCTGATCATGTCTCAATATGGGCCAGACCCTTCTGGAAGGTGAGGCTAAATTCTCCACAGCTCCCCCTCTGCTGACTGCAGGCTGAGCCTGCCCCTTTCCACATGGTAATAGATCTACTCAGCAGTGCTTAGTGCTTCTCCAACAGATCCTAAAAAAGCTGAAGTTTTACACAGTAAGAATATGGTTAAGACAAAAATTCTGACCTGAAAATGGTATTTTATTGCAGTTTTAATAAGGGTAATAACATACAACCATTGAGGCACAAGTAAGGCAAGGGTGCATGCCAGGTGGAAGCAGGAAGGAATGCACCAAAAAAAGAAAAAGAAAAAAAACACAAGCAAAAAAAACCCCAAACAAACCCAAAACCCGCACTTTGAATCAAAAGTCATAAGGCCTGTAGCAAGAATTTTAACACATTGATCAAGTCAGTTGAAGATACCATGTGGTAGAAGGGGAGAAAAACGACTAACAGTCCTGAAGGGAAATAGGAATTGACCTCTGCAGCCGTGTTAGTTGATCACAGTAGTACACAAGACTTCTACACAGATTTTGAGGGATAAACTTTCAAGATAGAAATGGAATAAAGCAGCATGCTGACTGCAGATAGAGCATACCAAACAAACTCAGCAACTTTCTTGCCAAAAGCCCTTTGATTTCTAGTTAATGAATTGCAGGAAACCACATTCATCCAGACTTCACCAAATTGTTCAGTATGGCACCGTATGGGAAGTTATGAGTTATTTTAAGGCAGTATAATTAATACAGGAAAAATACAGCAGGACACAGACCAGCCAAAGAGCAACAATAATAGTATTTACAGAGGACACAGGCTGGAAGAAAGCTGTTTGTGTAATTCCTTGAGCACTGGGTTCAGGCCTGTAATACTTTTCCTTGCATGGCACAGCTAATAAAGAGAAGTGACAAGTGAAATATGCTGGGTGATGTTGGACAGTATGCTGAATGCAGAGTAGGACTGCATATTCGGAAGAACTGCATTAACTGAAAGAATAGTAAGAGAAGTTCAACAAGGCCAAGTGCCGGGTCCTGCACTTGGGTCACAACAACCCCATGCAGCGCTACAGGCTGGGGGAAGAGTGGCTGGAAAGCTGCCTGGTGGAAAAGGACCTGGGGTGCTGGTCCG